ATACCTAAGAACGTGATGAGTTATATAACCGAAGCTTTCAAAGCCAAGGATGTATAAATACCTAAGAACGTGGGGTGTTATATAACCAAAGCTTTCAAAGCCAGGGATGTATAAATACCTAAGAACGTGAGGGGTTATATAACCAAAGCTTTCAAAGCCAATGCTGTATGAATACCTAAGAACGTGAGGGGTTATATAACCAAAGCTTTCAAAGCCAGGGATGTATAAATACCTAAGAACGTGATGAGTTATATTACCAAAGCTTTCAAAGCCAAGGATGTATAAATACCTAAGAACACGAGGAGTTATATAACCAAAGCTTTCACAGCCAAAGATGTATAAATACCTAAGAACAGAGGAGCTATATAACCAAAACTTTCAAAGCCAAGGATGTATAAATACCTAAGAACGTGAGAAGTTATATAACCAAAGCTTTCAAAGCCAATGATGTATAAATACCTAAGAACATACCTTAGAACGTGAGGGGTTATATAACCAAAGCTTTCAAAGCTAAGGATGTATAAGTACCTAAGAACGTGAGGAGTTATATAACCAAAGCTTTCAAAACCAAGGATGTATAAATACCTTAGAACGTGAGGAGTTATATAACCAAAGCTGTCAAAGCCAAGGATGTATAAAAACCTTAGAAAATGAGGAGTTATATAACCAAAGCTTTCAAAGCCAAGGATGTATACATACCTAAGAACACGAGGAGTTATATAACCAAAGCTTTCACAGCCAAAGATGTATAAATACCTAAGAACAGAGGAGCTATATAACCAAAACTTTCAAAGCCAAGGATGTATAAATACCTAAGAACGTGGGGAGTTATATAACCATAACTTTCAAAGCCAGGGATGTATAAATACCTAAGAACGTGATGAGTTATATAATCAAAGCTTTCAAAGCCAATGATGTATAAATACCTAAGAACGTGAGGAGTTATATAACCAAAGCTTTCAAAGCCAAGGATGTATAAATACCTAAGAACGTGAGGGGTTACATAACCAAAGCTTTCAAAGCCAGGGATGTATAAATACCTAAGAACGTGAGGGGTTATATAACCAAAGCTTTCAAAGCCAAGGATGTATAAATACCTAAGAACGCGAGGAGTTATATAACCAAAGCTTTCAAAGCCAAGGATGTATAAATACCTAAGAACGTGAGGGGTTATATAACCAAAACTTTCAAAGCCAGGGATGTATAAATACCTAAGAACGTGATGAGTTATATAACCAAAGCTTTCAAAGCCAAGGATGTATAAATACCTAAGAACGTGATGAGTTATATAACCAAAGCTTTAAAGCCAAGGATGTATACATACCTAAGAACGTGATGAGTTATATAACCAAAGCTTTCAAAGCCAAGGATGTATAAATACCTAAGAACGTGATGAGTTATATAACCGAAGCTTTCAAAGCCAAGGATGTATAAATACCTAAGAACGTGGGGTGTTATATAACCAAAGCTTTCAAAGCCAGGGATGTATAAATACCTAAGAACGTGAGGGGTTATATAACCAAAGCTTTCAAAGCCAATGCTGTATGAATACCTAAGAACGTGAGGGGTTATATAACCAAAGCTTTCAAAGCCAGGGATGTATAAATACCTAAGAACGTGATGAGTTATATTACCAAAGCTTTCAAAGCCAAGGATGTATAAATACCTAAGAACGTGAGGAATTATATAACCAAAGCTTTCAAAGCCAAAGATGTATAAATACCTAAGAACAGAGGAGCTATATAACCAAAACTTTCAAAGCCAAGGATGTATAAATACCTAAGAACGTGAGAAGTTATATAACCAAAGCTTTCAAAGCCAATGATGTATAAATACCTAAGAACGTGAGGAGTTATATAACTAAAGCCTTCAAAGCCAAGGATGTATAAATACCTTAGAACGTGAGGGGTTATATAACCAAAGCTTTCAAAGCTAAGGATGTATAAGTACCTAAGAACGTGAGGAGTTATATAACCAAAGCTTTCAAAGCCAAGGATGTATAAATACCTTAGAACGTGAGGAGTTATATAACCAAAGCTTTCAAAGCCAAGGATGTATAAATACCTTAGAACGTGAGGAGTTATATAACCAAAGCTGTCAAAGCCAAGGATGTATAAATACCTTAGAACGTGAGGAGTTATATAATCAAAGCTTTCAAAGCCAAGGATGTATAAATACCTAAGAACGTGGGGAGTTATATAACCAAAGCTTTCAAAGCCAAGGATGTATAAATACCTAAGAACGTGAGGAGTTATATAACCAAAGCTTTCAAAGCCAAGGATGTATAAATACCTAAGAACTTGAGGGGTTACATAACCAAAGCTTTCAAAGCCAGGGATGTATAAATACCTAAGAACGTGGGGGGTTATATAACCGAAGCTTTCAAAGCCAAGGATGTATAAATACCTAAGAACGTGAGGAGTTATATAACCAAAGCTTTCAAAGCCAAGGATGTATAAATACCTAAGAACGTGAGGAATTATATAACCAAAGCTTTCAAAGCCAAAGATGTATAAATACCTACGAACGTGATGAGTTATATAACCAAAACTTTCAAAGCCAAGGAGGTATAAATACCAAAGAACGTGATGAGTTATATAACCAAAGCTTTCAAAGCCAAGGATGTATAAATACCTAAGAACGTGAGGAGTTATATAACCAATGCTTTCAAAGCCAAAGATGTATAAATACCTAAGGACGTGATGAGTTATATAACCAAAGCTTTCAAAGCCAAGGATGTATAAATACATAAGAACGTGATGAGTTATATAACCAAAGCTTTCAAAGACAAGGATGTATAAATACCTAAGAACGTGATGAGTTATATAACCAAAACTTTCAAAGCCAAGTATGTATAAATACCTAAGAACGTGAGAAGTTATATAAAAAGCGACCTAAGTAGTATAGTCAAATTCATCTGCCGTCAACTTTGCCTGAGGGAGGTAGAACTGTAAAAAATAGGTATGGTATGATTGTAAATGAGACAACTAACTACATCTAAATAACAGAATTCTGCTAGAATCGGATCTATGGATTAATAGACATTTTAACCAAGTCCCATGTCATGCATGCATAAAGCTTTCAATACTTGGAAAAGTCTTAGGTCTTCCAACAGCTGCTGCTTTGAACAAAACATTTGCAAAGAAATTATTTGATGTGGTAGTTGACATTGAATGTTCGAGTCTGATTGGCTGGATCGAAGTATTGATAATTCTTTAATAATACTATGATAGCTTTGCAAGAATAAAACATTGTTTTTATACGACCGCAAAAAATTTTGCGGTCGTATATTGGTATCACGTCGTCGTCGTCGTCGTCGTCGTCAGCGTCGTCCGAAGACATTTGGTTTCCGGACAATAACTTTAGTAAATGTAAATAGAAATCTATGAAATTTAAACATAAGGTTTATAACCACAAAAGGAAGGTTGGGATTGATTTTGGTGGTTATAGTCCTAACAGTTTAGGAATTAGGGGCCAAAAAGGGGCCTAAGTAAGCATTTTTTTAGTTTCCAGACAATAACTTGTGGAACGGTGTATGGATCTCTCTGAAATTATACCACAAGCTTCCATACCACAAAGGGATGGTTAGAATTGGCTTAAGGGGGGTTATGGCTCAAACTGTTTAGGAATTAGGGGCAAAAAAGGGGGAAAAACAAGGGTTTCCTGGTTAATGGACAATTAAAAAAAAGTACAATGTTATGTTTGGATTACCTCCCTTACACTGCTTTTAAATTATGTATAAAGAAATGTTGTATTGTCTTGAGGTGATTAGCTGTCAATTTATTTTTAGAAGTTACTATTTAAAAATGCTGATTAAGGAATATTAATTTTAGCCATAATTATGTAAGTCATTTTCTATTTTAAGACTTTTATGATGTATTTAAATGGGTAATTATGGTTGCAAACTCCATTGGAAATTTGAATTGAGGTTTTGACCATACCTTGAGGGAAAGAATTTTTTTTTGGAAAAAGGGGGAATGGAGGTGAAAAAAAATTGGTGGGGGATGGGGGGGGGGGGGGGTAAAAAAGAAATTGTGAGGGGGGGGGACAATTTTTTTCTCATTTCAGATTTCAGAAATTCAAAAGAAAATTTCTTCAAATATTTTTTTTTTTGCAAAAAAAGGGGGGGGGGGGGGGGGGTGAACATTTTTTTTTGGGGGGGGGGGTCAATTTGCAACAGCAAAGTGTCTTGCACAAAAGCTAAAAAATGAATATAAATTCAAATCATATAACCAATTCTAAGTTCTTCGACTACAGTTATTCTGTGTCAGGAACCTATTATGTGTCAAAAATGTATTTACAATCCAAATTCAGACCTGTATCAAGCGCGAATATTGTGTCCATTTTTGCCCCAACTGTTCAGGCTTGGACCTCTGCGGTCGTATCCAGCTGCGCTCGGCGAAGCAATTTATTTGCCGTTTAGAGTTAATGAGATCCCTCTGATTTTGCAGTTTGCCATGATTTGAATGTACTGAATGGATTTATAAGATTTTAACATCAACCATCAGTTACTTCCAAGTATTCCATGTAATCACTATGGTTAATGACTCAAACCACTCAAAACATGGCTGCTATAGTTTAAAAAAAATAAGATTTGACTTATTGTCTATTGCTGACGACTCAATCATCAAATTCAGATCAAATAATTATTTTGCTTTGAAACTTTCTTTAAGTTCTATACTGCATTTATGACAACAACATGTTACTGGTAGCTAATTATACTGACCTGGTATGTCTGTCTGCATGGTAATTGACAAGGTCACACATGTAGTTCAACTTTCAGCTTTACTTTTCTGTATTTGAATATACAAAGTTGTGTCTGACTGAGATCTTTTGAATGCCTTGAAGGATATTAATTATACATGATCTTATTGTTGCCTACCACCACATGATGTGTTGCTATTAAGGATGCATGTGTGTCAGCAAGATCAAGGCCAATGCTTCTATAATAAGATGAACACAAGGGGAGGTTTATTACATATCATATTTTATTTTTCAGGCAGACATCAGTCACAAAGTAAAGACTGTATAGTTTTCTATTGTAAAATAGAGACAATTTGATAAAAGATGGCCCCCCTGTCTGAAGAAGAGGAGAACTATGTCCGATTAGCCTTGTTATTAAAAGGAGTTTCACCAAGAGCAGTTCGTATTTTCTTTGACAGAGAATTTCCACCTACCAATCTACTTTCAACACTGAATAGAAACTCCAACACTCTTTTTGACCTGAAAAAGAAGAGAATTTTGAACCAGGCTCAGTGGAATATTTTGTTTCCAAGAAATGGTATGGTTTATAAACATACACATTAGCGAGATATATTATGCAATCCAAAACAGCAGCAACACCAAAATAATCAAAGTATAAATATTATTAAGTTGATCATCCAATTGTCAGCAATAGCCAGCATGTCTATACAATGTTTTATCTCTAAATCACCATGAGTAAAAACATGTCAGACGAGGTATGAATAGATTCAAAAAAGACTTTTAAACATTGAAATCTGTTATCAACACTTACGGCCAAAAACACAAAACTATATTCACAGATAAATTACCCTGAGTAAAAGCATGTCAGACGAGGTGTGAATAGATTTAACTAATGATTCTAATACTTTTGGAATTACAGATGTACCTGATTCTAATACTTTTGGAATTACAGGTGTACCTGATTCTAATACTTTTGGAATTACAGATGTACCTGATTCTAATACTTTTGGAATTACAGATGTACCTGATTCTAATACTTTTGGAATTACAGGTGTACCTGATTTTAATACTTTTGATGTTACAGATGTACCTGATTCTAATACTTTTGATGTTACATGTGTACCTGATTCTGATACTTTTGATGTTACATGTGTATCTGATTCTGATACTTTTGATGTTACATGTGTATCTGATTCTAATACTCTTCATGTTACATGTGTACCTGATTCATATACTTTTCATGTTACATGTGTACCTGATTCTAATCCTTTTGATGTTACAGGTGTCTTGATTCTAATACTTTTGATGTTACAGGTGTCTTGATTCTAATACTTTTGATGTTACAGGTGTCTTGATTCTAATACTTTTTGTGTTGCACGTGTACCTGATTCTAATACTTTTGATGCTATAGGTGTCTTGTTTCTTATACTTTTGGTATACAGGTGTTCCTGATTCTAATACTTTTGTTGATACAGATATACCTGATTCTAATAGTTTTGATGTTGCAGGTGTACCTGATTCTAATACCTTTGATGTTACAAGTGTACCTGATTTTCAAACTTTTGATGTTACAGGTGCACCTGATTCTAATACTTTTATATTACAGGTGAACCTGATTTTCAAACTTTTGGTTTTACAGGTGACCTGATTCTAATACTTTTCATGTGAAAGGTGGACCTGATTCTAATACTTTTGATGATACAGGTGTCTTGATTCTTATACTTTTGATGTTACAGGTGTACATGATTCTAATACATTTGATTTTAAAAGGTGACCTGATTCTTATTCTTTTGATGTTGCAAATGTACCTGATTCTAATACTTTTGATGTTACAGGTGTACCTGACTTTAAAACTTTTGATGTTAACTTGACTTGATGAAACTTAAATAAGCAAAAATGATCAGCAAGTCAAGATCTACAATTAAGACAATATGGCGGAAATCCTCCGCCGACTCCTCATTGGAGTTATTGTCCTTTAATGACGAATTTTACCATTTTTTTCTGCGTTTTGCCTTGTATGATAAAAATCATAATAGATAAATAGACACTTATATAATCAAAAATGATAAGCAAGACAAGGTCTACTAACAAGTCAAATTTTGCCGAAGAAGTTAGTAGACTGTCACTCTTTATAGGAGTGATTGCCCTTAAATTACGAAATTTTTTTTACCCTCTTTTGTGTTTTGAGAAAAAAACTAAATTAGATAGAGAGAAACTAAATAGACTAAATGATCAGCAGTATAATATTAAAAAAACCCCAGATTTTTGTCATTAATTCTATTCTCGTCTACAATGTTGGAGATTGTCCTTTGCTGAATATGCATATAGACCAAAGTGTGTGACATAGGCTCTTTAGAGCCTCTAGTTGTTGTTACAGGTTTATCTGATTCTAATACTTTTGATGAAACAGGTTTACCTGAATCTTATACTTTCTTTTTTTCAGGTGTATCTGATTCCAATATGTTAGATATTAAAGGTGTACCTGATTCTTATACTTATTTTGTTTCAGGTGTACCTGATTCCAAAACTTGTGATGTTACAGGTGTTCCTGGTTTTTGTTCTTATGATGTTACAGGTGTTCCTGGTTCTTGTTCTTATGATGTTACAGGTGTTCCTGGTTCTTGTTCTTATGATGTTACAGGTGTTCCTGTTTCTTGTTCTTATAATGTTACAGGTGTACCTGATTTTAATAATTTGATTTTACAGATGTATTTGATTCTTTAAATTTTTATGTTTCAGGTGAACATTATTCTATTACTTTTGATGTTACAGGTGTATCGGATTCCAATAAGTTAGATGTGATAATTCTTGATTCTTATACTTACTTTGTTTCAGGTGTTCCTGATACGTCTTCTTATGATGTTATTGGTGTACCTGATTCTAATATGTTTTATGTAACAGGTGTACCTTATTCTAATATTTCTTATGTTACAGATGTACCTGATCCAAATACTTATATGTTACAGGTATTCCTGATTCTTATACTTTTAATGTTACAGGTGTACATAACTCTAATACTTTTAATGTCATAGGTGTACCTGAATCTTATATTTTAATGTAAGAGTTGTCCCTGATTCTCAAACTTATGATGGTATAGGTGTACCTGATTCTAATAATTATATGTTACAGGTGTACCTGATTTAAATAATTTTGATTTTACTGATGTTCTTTCTTGATTCTGATACTTTTTATGTTACAGGTGTACATGATTCTAACACATTTGATGATACCGGTGTCCCTAATTCTCAAGATTTTGATGGTACTGGTGTACCAGGTTCTGATACTTTAAAGTTACAGGTTTACCTGATTTCAATAATTTTGATTTTACAGTTGTACTTGATTCTTATACTTTTTAAGTTACTGGTGTACATGATTCTAATACTTTTGATGTTACAGGTATTTCTGATTCTCAATCTTTTGATTGTACAGGTGTATCTGAATCTAATACTTTGGATATTACAGGTTTACCTGATTCTAATACTTTTTATGTTATAGGTTTATCTGATTCCCAAACTTTTGATGTTACAGGAGTTCCTGATTCCCAAAGTTTTGATGTAACATTGATGATATGTTTGATCAGACATTTGACAATGGTTACTCATCCAATCAATGGATTTGACAGTCTCCCACCTCAAGGTGAGACAACTCCAGGACCTGATCTAGCCAGGATCAAATGGTACAGAAATATACTAGCTCACCATGATAGTAATAAAATAGAGACTGCTTACTTCAATACAGCATGGACAAATATATCAGATGTAAGTGTATTTAAAACATGTAATTTTGATCATAGCAATGGAAGGTTTTGAGGTGGTCCAAGGTCTTTGCTTCTTATGAAGATGGAAATATGTCTCATCATCCATTTGAAACCCTGGACCCAACACTTGAGACAGTTTTACAGAAGTCATCACCAGTTGGGTGGCCGTTATGGAATATCTGTGTTTCAGATGACAAGGGATATGTTCCAGTTGTTTTAACCACATTCACCCCCTCACTGATATCACCGAATGAGACATATCTCTGCATTTGTACTGGCAGAAGCCTTTAAAGAAGACGTTTTCAAGTTGTGAAACTTTTGTCTGATCCATTTGTCATTTTGATCAATAAAATATGCTTGAACTATTAATACTTGCATGACCAAAACAAGTAGTTCCACACATGCCATGTGTGGAGCAGGATCTGACTACACTGCAGAAGTATCTGAGATCACCCCAATTTTTGGTGGGGTTCGTATTGTTTAGTCTTTTGTTTTGAATGTAGTGTTTTGTAGTCTGTGATTGTCATTTCTATCTTTTTTGGTTTGTAACCAGTGGCAAAGTTTGCCACCCAGAATTAATAATTGTACCAGTCTGGATTCGATCCAGTAAGGCACCGCTCTACCAACTGGGCTAAAAGAGTACTCGACTAGTATAGCTAATGAAAAGAGGTTATCAATCTACTAGGTAAGGGGAAGCACCGCTACATTTCATCCACCTGAAGAGTCATTATATTTTAATGAAGATATCTTTATCACATCCCCTGGCTCGGTTTTTCTTGTTACTATGTTTTTTAGATCACCTAGCCCTCCAATCACTTTGTTTCAGAGAATATGCCGATGATTAGACATTCTTGCACTTCAGTGTCAGTAGGAATATAAGAATAAGACAGGATAATGTAGCCCTCCATCCACTTTGTTTCAGAGAATATGCCAAAGATTAGACATTCTTGCACTTCAGTGTCAGTAGGAATATAAGAATAAGACAGGATAATGTAGCCCTCCATTTACTTTGTCTCAGAGAATATGCCGATGATTAGACATTATTGCACTTCAGTGTCAGTAGGAATATAAGAATAAGACAGGATAATGTAGCCCTCCATCCACTTTGTTTCAGAGAATATGCCGATGATTAGACATTCTTGCACTTCAGTGTCAGTAGGAATATAAGAATAAGACAGGATAATGTAGCCCTCCATCCACTTTGTTTCAGAGAATATGCCAATGATTAGACATTCTTGCAATTCAGTGTCAGTAGGAATATAAGAATAAGACAGGATAATGTAGCCCTCCATCTACTTTGTCTCAGAGAATATGCCGATGATTAGACATTATTGCACTTCAGTGTCAGTAGGAATATAAGAATAAGACAGGATAATGTAGCCCTCCATCCACTTTGTTTCAGAGAATATGCCGATGATTAGACATTCTTGCACTTCAGTGTCAGTAGGAATATAAGAATAAGACAGGATAATGTAGCCCTCCATCCACTTTGTTTCAGAGAATATGCCGATGATTAGACATTCTTGCACTTCAGTGTCAGTAGGAATATAAGAATAAGACAGGATAATGTAGCCCTCCATCCACTTTGTTTCAGAGAATATGCCGATGATTAGACATTCTTGCACTTCAGTGTCAGTAGGAATATAAGAATAAGACAGGATAATGTAGCCCTCCATCCACTTTGTTTCAGAGAATATGCCGATGATTAGACATTCTTGCACTTCAGTGTCAGTAGGAATATAAGAATAAGACAGGATAATGTAGCCCTCCATCCACTTTGTTTCAGAGAATATGCCGATGATTAGACATTCTTGCACTTCAGTGTCAGTAGGAATATAAGAATAAGACAGGATAATGTAGCCCTCCATCCACTTTGTTTCAGAGAATATGCCAATGATTAGACATTCTTGCACTTCAGTGTCAGTAGGAATATAAGAATAAGACAGGATAATGTAGCCCTCCATCCACTTTGTTTCAGAGAATATGCCGATGATTAGACATTCTTGCACTTCAGTGTCAGTAGGAATATAAGAATAAGATAGGATAATGTAGCCCTCCATCCACTTTGTTTCAGAGAATATGCCGATGATTAGACATTCTTGCACTTCAGTGTCAGTAGGAATATAAGAATAAGACAGGATAATGTAGCCCTCCATCCACTTTGTTTCATAGAACATGCTGGTGATTAGGCATTCTTGCACTTCAGTGTCAGTAGGAATATGAGGATTTGTCATTTTGGGTTCCAGCAAGTCCTCTAAAGTCCATCAGAAGTCAGAGCAATCTCGGACTAAGAGAAAAACTGTAAATAGTAAAAATTATCAGTAAAATAAGGTGTTCAAATAAGTTAAATTGACCAAAATTGTCAGTCACTAGTAATAGGAATCATTGCCTTTCAATTACAATTTTAACCCATTTGTTGTGTTTTTAATTAACATTATACATTTGTAATAATAGAAAAAATAAAATTTGGTAGACAAATTAAAAAAACTGGTCAATGCCTAATAAGTCAGCATGACCAAAATCACCATTTGACTGCTTGCCTTACAGGAGTTAAATATTGTCCTATAATTGGCACAATTAGATCTAGTAATTAGTCAAAATGACTGATATCATCAGTCTATAATCCTTATAATTACAATTTTAACCCATTTATGGTGTTTTTTGTCTTTTACCACTATATACTTTAGTAGATATAGAGGGGAAAATTTAAATAGCAAAAATGATAAGATAAGATCTATAAATGAAATGAATAGCCAAACTCTTCAGTCTATTCATTTAAGGTCCTTTTTTTTATTTTTGATCCATTTTAGAGTTTAACCTAATACCTTGAAAACTGTAAAAGATATATTAAAACTTTGAACCTCAACACAAGATCTTCAAACAAGTCAATATGATCAAAACTGTCAGTTGGTACCCTGATGACAAAATGGAGGTCAAGTTCAATATTGACGATTTTCACTCTACCGTTCAGGAGTTATGGTACCCCGCTCTTGGTCTATTGGAAAATGGCACTTTATGTTTTTGTGCCATTATTTATGTAACATTCAACCAATGCTCTTATGGTATAGCATAGTCCATCCGTCCGTACGTCAATACTGCGTATGATAATTCAAATTTGCTTTTACCAATTCCCTTAAAATTAAAACACAACATTAGAATAGACAGAAAAAAACTCAATTTCGTTTTTTTTGTAATTTAGTTTTTCAACAGTTACGGGACTTTAACTGTCAGATTTACAGCAATTTTTCACATATCGCGCATTAACTGATTTCCTCAAAACTTTACGCTTATGTTGGGATTGATAAAAGAATTGAAAATTCTAGTTTGTCGTTCCAGAGTTACAGGACTTTAAATGTCAAATTTAAGTAAATTTTTCACAGTTTGGACCATAACTTGAGGATGCTTTGATTTTTTGGAAACTTTACATAACGGTTGGAATTGGTTACGGTAAGATAAAATTTAATTTTGAAATTTTTCCAATTTGTCATTCCAGAGATATGGTACTTTGACCGTCAGTTTAATAAAAGGCATTTTTTAAATGTAATGCACTAACTCTAGTATGTTTGGATCAATTCATTAGAAATTTAAGACTTTTGTTGGCATTGGTGAATGTTGACCAGGTTTAAATTATTAACCTTTTCTGGTTGGTCGTTTCAGAGTAATTTAGTAATTTTAACAGTCATTTTTTACGCTATATTGATACGCCTAAAGATATCCCGATTCATGACTTTTACAGAGCCATTTTACTAACTTCTGATTAGTTGCCTTCTTAATATTTCATTTTTTTCTCGCAACAATTAGAAAATGCTAAATATGGGCGTATCATGAGTTTACAATACCCTATCCAGCAAAATAATGAGCAAGATATTGACAAAATTTGGGTTCACACAACTACCATTCAACACAAATATTCTTGTTACATGGTATAAAATTTATGTAAAAATACCATGGCAACAACACAGGCTCCTTGAACCCTCTGGTAGGTTTGCTTTGGCTTTACGACTGTTTGGTCTACAAACAGGGATGAACTCTGGTTATTCAAAAACTATTTACAGGTAATGACGTTCTTTCTACAATACAGGCAACTGCTGTTTTCCAGCATATGGTCTAAATTGGCAAAATGGGAGGGTTACGTGAACGTTATACTGGTTTCGCCTCACTTTATTATGTACCTGTACAAAGTCAGGCTATCTAGACCATGTGTTGTTCATTTTCATTTGTCTCTGTATGTCTGATATTTCGGAGGCGCTGTTGTACTGTCCTGTATTGTTGGTGATTCCTGTTTTCCTTTTAATGTATCATGTTATTATCTAACAAGACGTAGTCTGTGATTTGGATTCATACCATTGGGGATTTGATTATGTTTCCTGTCTAACCCTTAAATTTATAGATTTATAAACCTAGGATAAATAAGACCAACACTGATAGAAATAAGACAAACAGAGAGAAAAATTAGCACTACAAAACATTAACAAAACAAAAAGGACACAACAGGTACTCCGGAAGGGTTGTTGTACATGAAGAATTTATTGGAACAGATCGATTGTACACAAAGAAATCATTGAAACACATTGATGTTATATTGTTTATTGAAATATTTATTTGTAGGCTGTAAGTAGATTGGGTGGTCAACCAATGAATCAAGAGTGCCAAGAATTAAAGGTGAAAATCTTAGATCAGTCAAATCAGGAAATTATGTTGGAAATCAAACAATCACAGGAAGAAAGGAAGGAACTGAGACAAACAATGGACCACTTGGGGACTGAAAACTCAAAAGTAACAGAGAATCTAAATAAGTTAGAAGATTTCCACTGTACTTTACAGACTGAACACTCAAAACTGACAGAAAATCTGAGCATCTTACAAAATTCCAACAGCACTTTACAGACTAAACACTCAAAAGTGACAGACAATTTGACCATTTTAACAGATTCTAACAGTACTTTACAGACTGAACACTCGAAAGTGAAAGAAAATCTGAGGAAGTTACAAGATTCCCATAATACTTTACAGACTGAACACACAGAAGTGACAGAACATTTAAAGGACCCAACACCATGGAACAACAGAGGTAAATTATACTCATTTGGACAGGAGAGGTAGAGTAATAATATAAAGGGTAATACAGGGTGATATATTTCCAAACGATATATACTAGAGATATATGACAATGATATCATTAGAGTGTTTTATTTAATTGATAATAACAAACAAACCCGTTTGATGAAAATTTGCAAATCATCCTTGGAAACATTTTGAGAAACATCTTTTTGGGTTAAGATTTTAATGAAAACTGAAACATTTGTTTAATATTCTACTCCTAATTGATTCCTGATACAAAAAAGTGATTTCTGTGAAAGTTAGGGGTGGGTGTGGGAAAAACTTAGTTTTTGTTAAACAATCTTAATTTTGACAAAGAAATCCTTTTGGTTAGGATCTCAACGAACATTGAAATAAAGGTATGTAAACCTGTTCCAAATTGATTACCAGCGACAAATATTGATTTTTGTGAATTTGGAAAAAAAATAATAAGAAGATGTGGTATGATTGCAAACGAGACAACACACCACAAGATACCAAATGACATAGCAATTATCAATTATAGGTCACCATACGGCCTTTAACAATATGTAAAACCCATACCGCATAGTCAGCTATAAAAGGCCACGAAATGACAAATGTAAAACAATTCAAACGAGAAAACTAACGGCCTGATATATGTACAAAATAATGAAGAAAAAAAAAAATGATATACAGCAACAAACGAAAACCATTGAATTACAGGCTCCTGACGTGGGACAGGCACATACAGAATGTGACAGGGTTAAACATGTTAGCGGGCACCGAACCCTCCCCTAACATTGGACAGTGGTGTAACAGTACAACATATGAACAAACTACAAAAATCAGTTGAAAAACTTATTTTTTGTTAAAAAATATCACAAAGTTGGAAAAGCATCTTTTTTTGCTAGTCCAACACAAGTTATATTACATATTTACACTAGGCTATTCCAAATTGATCCCCTTTGTCAAATTTGCAGTAATAACTTATACCAAGTAACAAATCAGGAATATGACAGTTGTTTTCCATTCGTTTGATGTGTTTCAGCTTTTGATTTTGCCATTTGATAAGGGACTTTCCGTTTTGAATTTTCATTTCAGTTTGGTATTTTTGTTATTTTACTTTTTATTTATTAAAAAATATGACCTCATTTTCATGGTTCAGCGCGTTTTAACACCAATCAATCAATCTATCATGGTTCAGCGAGTGCTTAAATGAACAATATGACCTTATTTTTTTATGTGAAATTCTCACTGAGTATATGTAAAAGGATAACTGTATTCGATACAGACCTCCTAGTTCATTAATTAATTGGATTGATGAATTTGAAAAAGAAATTACAACTGCCATCAATCATAATTCAGATATTATTCTAATTGGTGATTTTAATATAGATTTTTTGAAACCTAATAAACAACCACAAAAATGGCTAAGTTTATTAGAAACCTATAGTCTCAACCAGATGATTCAAGAAACAACTGATTCTAGTACACTTATTGATCATGTTTATGTCACCAATTAAGATTTGATACTAGGATCACATGTTGCTAAATTCTCAATAAGGGATCATTATCCAGTTTGTTTAACTAGAAAAGAAAAAAATTCCACTTATATCAAAAAAGATATTCATATTACCATTTCTTACAGAAATTTCAAAAAATTCAATGAGACAAATTTTCTAAGTGACTTAGCTATTGCACCTTTTGATAAAATTGAACATGAAAGTCACCCAAAGACATGTATTTAGATATGGTATGACATATTTAATGGAGTTCTAGATAAACATGCACCAATTGTTACTAAAAGGGTAAAAAAAAGAGACAGACAACCTGAATGGTTCAATAATGAAATTACATATGCCAGGAAAATGAGAGAGAAATACCATAGACTAGGAATGTAGTCCGAGTTCAAATTTTGGAAAAACAGGACAAAACACATAATGGATGAATCTAAAAGAAATTTTTATTCAAAGATGGTAAAAAATTCAAAAGCTTCAAAAGATTTGTGGAAATGTATTCACAGTCTTAACCCATCCCAACAAGAAAAACCATATGAACTTTTAAATGAAGATGGTGCTACAACTAATAATGTCAGTGATATTTGTAATGTTTTTAATTAGTTTTTTACATCATGTGTTGAAAACCTGAGGACTGACAGATGTATGAGCAAAAATCATGATTATGCAAAATTAACTCAATTTGTACAAAAGAAATTTACTAAGTCAAAACAAGTAAAATTTTCAATTCCACCTGTCACAATAAATGATCTATTTAATGAGATGATCAAACTTGACATTAGTAAATCCACCGGATCTGATAAAATAGGACCAAAATTTTTTAAATAAAGTGCTCCCTTCATATCTTCATCTTTAACTTACATTTTTAACAGAATAATAGATACAAGTACATTTCACAGTGTTCTAAAGAATGCAAGAGTAATCCCTATTTTTAAAGCTGGGGAAAAATTCATGGCAGCAAATTATAGACCAATTTCTGTACTTCCTGTTTTATCAAAACTTTTAGAAAAGCATGTTTCAAAACATTTGTATGACTATCTATAAAGATTAGATCTTTTACAACCAGCACAGTCTGGGTTTTGACAAGAACACTCTTGCCAAACTGCCCTTATCAATATCATAGATAAATGGGTACAGGATATGAATGAAGGTAAAATCAACTTAGCAGTCCTGTTGGATTTTAAGAAAGCTTTTGATGTAGTAGATCATGATATTCTATGTAAAAAACTTGAAATTTGTGGATTTGATAATGCTGCTGTTTCGTTTTTTAAATCGTATTTGAATGAAAGTACTCAACAAGTACAAATTGGTAAGCTCATTCCGAAAAACTTTATATCAAGTATGGTGTCCCCCAAGGCTCCATATTAGGGCCCCTTCTGTTTATATTATACATAAACGACCTTCCTATCTATATGAAAAATTGTTGCACTGATTTATATGCTGATGATTAAACTTTACATGTTTCTGGTAATTGTTATCAAACTCTCCAGTCAAAGGTACAACGAGTTACATGGTGTTGAGGAATGGGGTAATGATAACAATATGTTCATCAATAAAAATAAAACAAAATATATGATTATTGGAACAAAGCAAAAAGCAATGCAACATTACAATGAGAGTTGTTTAACTATTAACAATCAAGTGATACAATCTTCCACATGCGAAAGTCTATTAGGCATTAAAATTGACCCTTCCCTCACATGGACAAACCAAATTGATGTGATCTGCTCAAAAATTTCATCTAGGCTATATCTACTATAAAAGATTAAGAAATTTCTAAATCTAGACTGCAAAAATTATTTTATAATGGTTATATCTTCCCACTAATTGATTAGTGTTGTATAGTGTGGAGTAGTTGTAGCAGTGAGGGCTTAAATAGAATATTAAAATTACAAAAGAGAGCTGCTAGATTAATACTAGAAACAGACCCTTTCGCTCCTTCTGAGCCTTTATTCAAACACTTAAACTGGATGACCGTTGAACAGAGAATAAAATATCACAAGTTTGTGATGACATTTAAGTGCATCAAAAATGACGCACCATCATATCTTACTAACAAGTTTTATTATGTTTCAGACAGAAATCCATACCCCTTGAGAAATGCTATTCAAGGAAACCTCATACTCCCTAAACCAAAAACAGAATTGTTCAAAAAATCTTTTATGTATTCTGGACCATTCTTGTGGATTAACTTGCCAATACCGTTAAGAAATATTACAAATGTTAATTCTTTCAAATACAAGATAACAGATCATTTATTGAAATCAACCTAGCTGTATAAAAAATATAAAAACTGATTATGTCATCACGTTTATTTTTTCTTAACATTTTATCAAGTTGTAATGAACATTATTATCATACTTGTCTCCAACTAATGTATGCAATGTATATGTTTGCATGTTGTTTGATTTTAATGGTGAGGGCCTCAGGGAAGATTAGTTATATAGCTAACTGTGTAACCCTCTTAAAATAAAGTCTTGTTGTTGTTGTTGATAAATTACATCAATACAAGATTAGCATGTCGGTCAAACAGAGAGTTCCTTTGGCTCCATCATACGGTGTTTATATATCCCAACTCGTTCGTTATGCCCGTGTGTGTAGTGATGTCATAGATTTTAACGAACGTAATCAATGCATCACTGGTAAATTATTAAGTCAGGGATTTCGTTACCATAAATTACGTAAAACTTTTGCTAAGTTCTTTCATAGATACAAAGATTTGATTAGTAAATTTGGCTGTACTTGTAGAAAACTGATTAAAATCGGTATTTCACATCCTAAATTTTACGGTAATATTGTACTTAAAGCGCGGAAATCACTATGTGATCCGTGTAAACTCATCGAACCTTTAAACAAACTTATTAGTAAAGGTTATCTTACCAGTGCTGTAATCAGATCTTTGAATATAGTTTACATTTGCACTAATATCGATTTTGTCATCAGCAAATTGAAACATAACTAAATTTGTATTCTTTTCAAACGGGATGTATATAGACACACCCACGTTCGTTTTGATCTATAAAGAGGTTAAACTCCTAACTCTCCTACTGTCTGTCGATACATTTATTTTTAGCATTGCACTAGTCATGTCTTCTTTGACTGTCCATGACGTTAAAATACTAAATTCCTGGGATATGTTTTAGTTGATTTTAGTCTCTGATGCATGATTTTTTATTATTAATTGTTTTGGCTTTTAACTAGCTGTCAGTAACTGCGAGTACTCTCAAATCGTACTTTCTTGTTTATTTGACCTGTTGATACTAATTGTATTGCTTTTTTGTTATTTAATGTTATTTAGGGTTATATCTGGTCTATATACCAGCTTTGATAAGTGTTTGATATTACTATAAATTTTCACTTCGTACTATGAACATCAAAATTATTCATTTTGTAAAAATATTCCCCTTCTCTATTGGAACTGTACACGTATACCTAACAACAAAATTATTTTCATTTACCTGTGCTTAAAGTTATTGCAAATGGCTGATATTTTTGTTCGAGCATATTGTTTTTCTTTAATTGTTTAACATTTCATACCGATATAACATGTTATTCTTCCCTTAGTTTATCTATTTTGTATTTACATTGTATCATAGGTCAAATTTATTTGTTCAGTGTATGTTCGATGGTGTTAATATATCCTTTGATTGAGTTAAGCTATTTCAGTTGATATTTTATAGTGTGTCTTTCTATGTTGTGATGTTACACTATTGTTTCAGAAAAAGGGTGAAGGTTTGGTACCATTAAAACCTTTAAACCCGCTGCATTTGTTTGCACCTGTCCTAAGTCAGGAATCTGATGTTCAGTAGTTGTCGTTTGTTGATATGGTTCATAAGTGTTTCTCGTTTCTCGTTTTTTATATAGATTAGACCGTTGGTTTTCCCGTTGAATGGTTTTACACTAGTAATTTTTGGGGCCTTTTATAGCTTACTGTTCGGTGTGAGCCAAGGCTCCGTGTTGAAGACCGTACTGTGACCTATAATGGTTTACTTTTATAAATTTTGACTTGGATGGAGAGTTGTCTCTTTGGCACTCATACCACATCTTCTGATATCTATTTAAATATAACCTTGACCCCATTTCATGGAACAGTGATCAAAGTTTAAGTTTTTCAGAGTAAAGTCCGTATTGCAAATACTAAAATCAAAAGGTCAACTGAAAAATGTATAATGTGGCCTATTGACTGACTTTAAGGTATACATGCAGGATTCATCTGACCATGATCTCATGTTCATGGTTTATTGTTCAATGTGATGTTTTTTCCAAGATACTATCAGCAGTTAGTCAAGTGTATTTGGTGTATGGAATGATTGTAAGCTGTTCATGTCTGACTTTCAGGGTTCATCTGAACTTTGACCTCATTTTCATGTTTCATTGGTCAATGCTAAATTTTCCTGCTTGACTGGGTTTCTCATTTACTATATGCAATAGGTCAACCATATTTGATGTATAGAATCAACTTAAGCCAGTCTTGAAATGACATTAATATTCTCAGAATAATATATCTTTTTCTTATTAGGACAAATAAAAGAGGAGTTAGAAGCTTGGAAAGAAGGTGACACAATGTTTATAGATACAAAAGGAGCAAAACGTGTATTAAAGTGTATTAAAGAAAATGGATGTGTTGTTGTAACCGGAAGTTTCGGTACGGGAAAATCATCTTTAGTGCGTCATGTAGCTCTAGAAATGCAAAAAGAAGGCTTTGATTTATTACCAGTTTCAAACCCGGAAGAAATTCGCAATTTGTACAATCCAAGTAAGAAAACCCTATTTGTTGTGGATAATTTTTGTGGAAAATATGCTTTAAATCCAATGCAGTTTGAAAACTGGAAAAATCTGATGGAAAAAATCAAAACACTAATAGAAAAGAATTCAGTTAAGTTAATTATGTCTTGTAGACTACAGGTTTATAATGACAACAAAATGAAATCTTTATCCTTTTTTCGTTCCTGTGAATGTCATCTTTTGTCTGAAGATATATGTTTATCAAAACCAGAAAAGCAATCTATTGCTGAACTTTACATGAAAACAAACGCTTCTAAGATCAATGAATTTGATGACATGTTTGACTGTTTTCCTCTTTTATGTCAATTCTACAACAAAAACACAAAATTAAGTATTATCAATTTCTTTAACAATCCATATACAGTTTACAAAGAAGAGATAGATAAATTACAGACAGTGGGGGCGCATGTCAAATACTGTGCTCTGGCTCTATGTGTCATGTTTAACAATAGTGTGAAAGAAGAATGGCTTACAGGAAATATAGACAAAGATATCAAAACAAATATAAAAAACACATATGAAGCTTGTAAAGTTGTGAAAGGAACGTCACGATTGGTTGTTCGTGATGAGCTGGATTCACTGACTGATACATTTATCAGAAAGGATGATACAGTGTACAGAACTATTCATGACAAACTGTTTGACTTTCTGGCTTTCTACTTTGGCAATGCAATGATTTATTGTTTAATTATAAATGCTTCAAGTGATTTGATAAGTGAAAGGTTTTTATTTGAAAAGAAAAGCAATAATAATAACTTTATAGTTGTTGTACCAGAAAGATATCAGCAAATGTATATACAGAGAATGGTAGATGACTGGTCGAGAGAAAATGTAGTCGATGTCTACTGTAACATCAATATGAACAATCAAATCTTCAGACAAAGATTCCTAGTTTATATAAAAAGTTTAGATGTATCACAACAGAAACAATTGGCAAGTCTATATGACACAAATAACAATAGCACTCCTTTGATACAGAGTTGTTTTATAGGCGATGTTGATCTAGTTACATGGTGTTTACATCATTGTATCAGCAATGTAAACCATTGTCAAAATGGTCATACTGAAATAGTTCAGATGTTAATGAACAATAAGGCAAACCTTCAAAAGTGTATAGGTACTGGGGAATCACCTCTATACATTGCTTGTCAGAAAGGACATACTAAAGTAGTACAAATGTTAATAAACAAAAAGGCAGACATAAACAATTGCATATATACTGGAGAATCACCTCTGTTCATTGCTTGTCATCAGGGACACACGGAAGTAGTTCAAATATTAATAAAATATAAGGCAGACATTAATTAGTGTGAACAAATTGGAGAATCACCCCTGTTCACTGCTTGTATGACTGGACAAACTGAACAAACTGAAATAGTGCATATGTTAATAAACAATAAGGCAGATATTGATAAGTGTAATGATAAAGAAATATCACCTCTGTGCATTGCTTGTCATGAGGGACATACTGAAGTAGTTCAAATGTTAATAAGCAATAAGGCAAACATTGAAAAGTGTATAGGTACTGGGGAATCACCTCTGTTCGTTGCTTGTCAGAAAGGACATACTGAAGTAGTTCGGATTTTAATAAACAATAATGCAGACATAAATAATTGTATAGATACTGGAGAATCACCTTTGCTCATTGCTTGTCAGGTAGGGCATACTAAAGCTGTTCAGATATTAATAAACAACAAGGCAGACATTAATAAGTGTAAAGATACTGGAGAATCACCACTGTTCGTTGCTTGCGGGATTGGAAATACTGAAGTTGTTCAGATGTTAATAAACAATAAAGCAGACATTAATAAGTGTAATGATAAAAAAATATCACCTGTGAGCATTGCTTGTCAACAAGGACATACTGAAGTAGTTCAGATGTTGATAGAATTTAAGGCTTTCATAAATAAGTGTAGAGATACTGGAGCATCACCTCTGTTCATTGCTTGTCAGAATGGATATTTTGAAATTGTTCAGATGTTGATAGACAATAACGCAGATAGTAATATATGTTATGACGGAGAAGTATCACCTCTGTTCATTGCTTGTCAGGAAGGACAAACTAAAATAGTTCAGATATTAATTAACAATAAGGCAGACATTAATAAATGTACAGATACAGGAGAATCACATCTGTACATTGCATGTCACCAAGGACACACTGAAGTAGTTCAGATGTTAATGAATAATAAGGCAGACATGAATAAGTGTAATGATATTGGAGAATCCCCGCTGTTCATTGCTTGTAAATACGGATACAGTGAAGTTGTTCAAATGTTAACACACAGTTATGCAAACATAACTAAGTGTAACGATAAAGGGATATCACCTCTGTTCATTGCTTGTCATGAAGGACATACTGAAGTAGTTCAAATGTTAATAAATAATAAGGCAGACATTAATGAGTGTAGAGATACTGGAGAATCACCTCTGTACATTGCCTGCCACAATGGATATAATGAAGTAGTCCAGCTTTTAATAAACAGTAAGGCAGACATTAATAAGTGTAACGGTAAGGAGATGTCACCACTGTACGTTGCTTGTGATCAAGGATATACTGAAATTGTTCAGATGTTAATAAACGATAAGGCAGACATTAATAAGTTAACAGATACTGGAGAATCACCTCTGTACATTGCATGTCAGAATAGATACACTGAAATTGTTCAGATGTTAATAAACAATAATGCAGACATAAATAAGTGTACATATACTGGCGCATCACCTCTGTTCAATGCGTGTGACCAAGGACATACTGAAATACTGTAGATGTTAATAAACAATAACACTGACATGAATAAGTGTAGTGATAGTGGAGAATCACCTTTGTTCATTGCTTGTCAGAAAGGTCATACTGAAGTAGTTCAGATGTTAATAAACAATAAGGCAGACATTAATAAATGTAGAGATACTGGAGTATCACCTTTGTTCGTTGCTTGTCAAAGTGGATACACTGAAGTTGTTCAGATGCTAATAAACAATAAGGCAAACATTAATGAGAGTACAGATACTGGAGAATCACCTTTGTTCATTGCTTGTGGATATGGACAAACTGAAGTTGTTCATATGTTAATTAACAGTAAGGCAGACGTTAATAAGTGTAATGAGAAAGAGATGTCTCCTCTGTTCGTTGCTTGTCATGAAGGACATACTGCAGTAGTTCATATGTTAATAAGCAATAAGGCAGACATTAATAAGTGTAGAGATACTGGATCATCACCTCTGTTTATTGCTTGTCAGAATGGATTTACTAAAGTAGTTCAGGTGTTAATAAACCATAAGGCAGATTTAAACAGTAAATGTAAGGGTCTGACACCACTAGATGTTGCTAGCATAGAAAATCATACCAATATTGTGCATTTATTACAGAGACAGAATAAATATACAATTATATACAGACGAAAATAGACAAACAAGATAAATCAATAACACTTATATGCTAAATAGTATTCTGATTTATTATAAAGGACCAACACAACTAAATATTAGTAGAAAAGAAAATCACACCAATATTGTATATTTATCACAGAGGCAAAACAAATAAACAATGTGACTATCATGTTTTACAGTATTATAAATCAAAGACTATTCAAATGATCAACCAGTATGACAAGAAATAGTACAAAAAAAGATAACTATATAAATAACTTTCAAAGTACTTTTATTTCATAATGTCAAAACTATGCAATAATATCTACTTGGTCATGTTGTTACATCGATAGTGTTGATTTTCTTTTCAATAATGGTTGTACTGAATTTTGATAAAAAATTATGTTAATCAGCTAAATCTAACCTTGTTAAGTTTTTATGTTATTAGATACCATAAGATGTATTATTTATAGTTGAACAGTATATACATTTGTAGAGAATGATTGTAGGACATACAAGTCTGTGTGTCTCATGAAAGGACTCATTTGACGGTGAAATGTTTTAGTTCACCTGGACCCAAATGAAACTACAAAACCAATGTTTAACCACCATGAATTATCCTTTGGTATCATGTATAAAATTTTGTTTTTTGTTCCTGCAAAATTGTGCGAACCATCCACCATGAAAAAAGAACATAAGGGAATGCAAGCGATTGTCTTAATATATATGTATATTCATAAAAGATTAAACTATACATCAGTGAAAATAATCAGAATATCAAAAATTACACGTTAAGGGAGCCACCATTTACTTCAAAAAGGGGGGGGGGGGGGTGTGGTAATGGTTTTTTGTCCGAGTCAAACATTTTTTTTAGTTTTTCGACGCTATCAATCAGATTATTTTTTTTAGATTTAACACTATAAGGTATTGGGAAAATCTGGATTCAGAATATTTTATTTTGTCATCTGTTTGACCACAATATTTTTTTTCATCAAATTGGGGATCAGAATATTTATTTTGAGGAAAAAACCATCACCCCCACCCCCTTAAGTTAAATGGTCGTTTCCTAAAGGAGTTATTGTTTATAAAGAATTCATTTTTGTAACCTATATGTTTTGCTTCCTACTATCTTGAAAACTATAAAACATGAAAAGATGAGCAGAAACGGTAAACAGCAAAAAATATTAGCCATAGCCATACATGAAGTACAAAACTTTCAAAATGACCAAATTGATACCAATCAAAATATTTCTTTTGATCGTTATGTCCCCTAAACGGCCATTTTGACTAGTTTACAATATTTGAACGTCGGTAAACTACTTTCGCCTTAATTTGTCATTTTGTATATTATAATGAAAGCTATAAATGTTATGAAAAATGGAAAGAAAATGTAAATCAGCAAAAAAGTTTTAGCATTACAAGATTGAAAGGTGCAATTCTAATGCAATGCATTTGTAACGACGATTTTTATTGGTACGCATGTTTTGAGGAGGTAAATTTTGCGATCTACCGGTCTGTAACTAAGATTAGCCAACATTTTGATTGCAGATTTTTTAAAGCCCCCGCGACAAAATATCAAGGGGCATATTAATTTACCCTGTCCGTCCGTCTGTTCGTCCGTTAGAATATAAATACATGGTTTGTCTGACTATCTCCTCCTACAGTTTTTAAGCTCAAGTTTTAATGTAGGATGTTTCTACACATGATAGAGATGTCCACAATATTGTGATTTCTTTCAAATACTCAAATAGAAGTCGGAAAAGGGGGGATAGGGGTGTTAAATAAAGGCAACAGTAGTATACCGGTGTTCAAAAGTCATAAATCGATTGAGAGAAAACAAATCCGGGTTACAAACCAAAACCGAGGGAAACACATCAACTATAAGAGGAAAACAAAGGAACAACAGGAACACCGAAGTGCAACAAAAACAAACGCCAACACACATAGAAACGAACTATCTGATAACAACTGCCATATTCTTGACTTGGTACAGGCCATTTTAAGAAAAAATGGTGGGTTGAACCTGGTTTCATGGCATGTTAGATATTCACAAAAAGTTGAATTTGGTGACTACTAAAACTGGAAAGTTGAAACCTTTGCGTTGGACATTCAGTCCAGCAAATGTAGACAATCAGATAACAAATAAAAGATAGATCGTCATACAAAGTGTTCAATTTATAATTTATTAGACGGGGGCATCATTTGTGTCTTACAGACAGTGCAACAATTACAAGTTGTACTTCAAAATCACTGTTTATCTAATCCAAAGTATGTGGAACTATACACATGCATATGGCAGAGTAGAGGGGACATCGTCCATATCGTGTTGGTCTTAATAAGTCACATATTTGACCTGAAAACTTCCTTTTGTCAAAATTTATTTAATTCTGAAGAGTAACAAAGTCTAAAAACGTATCTTTAATTGGAGTTACATTATGACGTTAAGCTGGCTAGATACCGAACACAAGAACAAAGTTTAACATAAGTGTTTCATTTATGACAATTCTAAGTAATTTGATTGCTTAGCATTATGATGGGGATAACAGTTTTGTAGTTTTAGCTTGGCTTACGTTATACTTGGTTTTACTGTAACAAATATCTATTAACCTAGCAACAGCAATGTTTTGCCAGGATTTCAAACGTCAAAACATTTTTGTTAGTACTGTGGGCATTCAGTCAGGCAGACTGCTGTAGCTATTTTCATCGTGCAGCAGTCATCGATCCCTTTCACTAATGCTTTTTTAATATGAACACGTTATAAACTGATGACAAAACGATTGTCATATTTAAAATTGATAATTTTCAGTTATACTGTTCTTGTCCTTTATTATAGCAATGAAAATACAACGTATCCCAGAATCAGTAGGTGTTTCTCTTAGTATTTAAATTTTTGAAAAGTAAACTGTCCCATTGAATAAATACAATAGCTATTGTTCACTCTCATGACTATGGAGTCCATATAATGGGGACTTAAAATTTCTCCTTTAAAAACTAATCATTCATTTATCAATTTGACTGTACGACTATACATTGTCAGAGCAAGAGATAATATTTACATATCAGAATCAACACAGTTGGTATATTGTCCTGTTGTGTTTTTTCTTCTTTCATTTTTCTAGTGAATCGGTCCAATTTTTTGCACAACTGACCCAAAGGTCGTCGTCCGTCCATTTACTTTAACTCTGAAACGATCAGGTCAATTGGAACCAAACCAACAGTCATCATAGTTTGACAAATATTTCCGATGATCACACCTGCCAACCATTATTGCCGACATGGCTAAAAAAAAGCACATATGGGTAAAATACTAGTTTTGTCTATTATTTTGAAAACCGCTATTGGTAGATAAAATCTGACTGCAATGTACATAATGTTGAGGTCTTCATACGGTCTATTAACATCAAGCCTGATAGGTGGTATTGATCTGAAATGATTGGTTTACCATTTTCCCCAATTTTTATACGAGGGTGTCAGCGTCGTCGTCGTCAACTTTCGAAGACACGTGGTTTTCAGACAACAACTTGAATATAAGTGTATGGAACCTTATGAAATTGTAGCACAAGGTTCCATGCCACAAAAGGAAGGTTATGATTGAATTTGGGGGTTATTGTCTTAGCTGTTTAGGAATAAGGGGCCAAAAACAGGCATTTTTCCTGTTTCAGGACAAAAATTTGTGTATGAGTATATGGATCTCTATGAAATTTTATCACAAGGTTCCGTACCTCCTAAGGAAGGTTTAAATTGCTTTTGTGGGCCATGGCCCAAAAGAGTTAAGGAATAAGAGACCAAAAAGGAGCAAACAAATCTTAGATTTTCTGGTTTCCGGAAAATAATTTGAGTATAAGTTTGTTGATCTGTATGAAATTGTACAAGGTTTCATACCAAAAAAGGAAACTTTGGATTGATTTTGGGGGTTATGGTCCTTAATGTTTATGAAAAAGGGGACAAAAACAATACTTTTCTAATACTTTGTATACATTGCTTATTTCTTGATCAATTTCAATGGGGTTTAATTCAAAATCTGGAATTCTTTGGATTCTTTAATATGCTGAATCTATCCGTGTAATAAGATTTTTGATTTTGGGCCCCATTATTAAATTGGTCCACATTAAGGTCCAAAAGGTCCAAAATTAGACTTTGTTTGAATAAAAAAAAATGGTTGGAGTTCTGTTATGTTGACTCTAACTGTGTATTTGGGTAATTATAAAAAAACATGCAAATTTCGATGAAGTAATATTTGGAAAAACGATGTCATTGTTTAAAACATTTAAATGTGTCCCTCTATTCTATAGTATGGTAGCAACTATTTTCAGAAATATGCAATGGGAAAAATGAAGGGTTCCTTCAATTTTAACAATTTTAGGTCATCCTTTGATAGAATCGTGTCAATGGTGTTACCAATTTAAAACATGCATTTAGGTACTAAATATTATTGTTAAACATCAAACAACTGTTCCAATTTGTTGTTAAGGTTTAAATTACTACTTATTGACATTATTCCTCTAGCTATACATTCTTTTTAAACATAAATTTCAGAATACATTGTCGTAAAAAAGTTGGCTGTCCTAATTATGGCTGTTGTAAATACTAAAAAATACACTTAAATTGAATATATGTATAATGTATAAGATGAAATGATAAGAATATGCTTAATTCTTCGTATACAACCTAAAAACGCTTTCATTTATGAATAAAAATTAAAAAGTATCGCATTGACACTGACTCTTCAGTAACTCCAATGACACAAAAGTATCACCATTGACAACACATTTCAAATTTTACTTTTATTAAGTACTGAACACAAAATTGAGAACACTGAGCAAAAGAAAAAGAAGAAAAAATCATTCTTAAGCTTAAAAATCTCAAATTATATAACATAATATCAATAACTAAAAATGTCAGTAGTGTTACTAAATAGTGTCATTGGTGTATCAGCATACACCAGTTTTTGAAAACTTTGTATATGTAATACATGATATTGTTAAAACATTGTTAAATAAGTAAGTATTGTTTGTTATAAATAATATGATGTTTCGCTTGTTAAACATGAAAGAAACACCAAAAAATGCTGATTGTCATAATATATTCAGTGGTGTTACTAAGCTGGTCAATGGTGTTATTTTATTAAAATGATCTCACCATTGACAGTAACACCATTGATTTTCAGGTGTATTTTAAGGTTTAGTTACAAAATAAGGGCTCCATTCCCCTATTTTATATGGTGTTCCTGGTGCATGTTTCTACAATCAATATATTTTATAATTCAAAGCTCAGGAATTTAAAAAAAAAAGATTTTTATAAGGGTACACCATGGACACTATTTTCAATTACGACATAGCTTGTACTTACTTTTAATATTTTTTTACTAAATTTTCAACATAAATGTTTGTTTTCGTTTGCATAACATGCTTACAGGTAACATTGCCAAGAGAGAAACTATTGTAAATGCTGAAATATTGAGAAAGATAACTCTTACCCTACCAATTTGTCTTTTGGTTACACCATTGACTTAAAAAATGAGACTTTTCCTTTTGGTTAAATTTTTATTATAAAACCAACATACACCTTCCAAATCATTAAACAAATGTTTGTATGTATCAAATGCAATAAAAAGTGATAATTTCTAATAACAAATGATATGAATAATAGCCCTATTTCAGGTCTGAAGGGATTTATAGTAAAAAATAACAGTTGATTCTGGCTATATCCAAGGGTTTGAGAAAAAATTAAGAATGTTTTTATAACATTTCATACTGTAAACTGTGTATAGTGTATCACAAAACATTCATATCTTTCATATGTAATAGTTATTTTGATACATTTTGATATAGTTTCATGTCTTGGGCTTGAAAAGACCAAATAACATAGTTTTGCATGTTTTTTTGATAATGACCTATTTAGATTTTTAATGTTGGGCCTGGTTTTCAATTTGGTTCATATTAAGGTCTAAAGGGTCGAAAATTATACTAAGATTCATTTTAACAAAAATTGTATTCTTGGGGCTCTTTCATATGCTGAATCTAGACATGTATTTAGATTTTTGATTTTGGGCCCAGTTTTCAAGTTGGTCCAAATCGTAGTCCAAAATTAAGCTTTGTTTGATTTCAACAAAAAATGAATATATGGGATTTTTTAGATATATTTTTTAGATATTGGACCATAATAGGTAAAAGTCAAATTTCAAATTTTTCAGTTCTTTGACCTCATTCCCTCTGTGTCAGAAACCTATGCTGTGTCAAATATTTAATCACAATACAAATTCAGAGCTGTATCAAGCTTGAATGTAGTGCCCATACTTGCCCCAACTGTTCAGTGTTCGACCTCTGCGGTCGTATTATGTTGCACCCAGCGGAACATTCTATTGTGTATTATCATGAGGACTATAATAGATAGATAGAAACTTTAAATAGCAAAATAATAGCGACACATTGCTAAAAATCGTTTTATTTAAAAAAAAATGTTAGAAGTTATTGCCCTTAAAATAGAATTTATCCTTTTTTGGCGTTTCGTCTTTTATTTTCAAATCACATTTAACACAAATTAGAATAGTAAAATTATCCGCACGACAAGTCCTACAATGAGGGCAATATATCCGAAATTGTCATTTGACTTCTTCTATAAGTTATTTCCCTTAGATAACGATGTTTACTCCTTTTTCATTGTAGGCAAAAAATATGGAGGATGGAAACTGTAAATAGTAAATATTCTTTAAGGGCTCTGTGGTGTTGCGCCTACTATTGCTACTGTCAGTGTAAAAGAATAATATTTACTGTAAAAAGTGGATTATTTATCAGTAAAATACAGATTTCAAATATAAAGGTTTGGCAAATTAATTGATGTGTAAAAATTTTAACTCCAGACTGTATCTACTTGTTAATTGCAAAAACCTAAGTCTTTTTATCAGAAAAAACAAAAAATGAAGAAAAAAATATTTGAATAATTTTGCTCTGGAAAGTGAGTAGATGCTGTCTTTTGGTCATAAAATGTTTTTGTACACCTTTTGTAAAATTCTAAGACGGACCATTTCAATGTAAACTGTAAAAAAAACTAAATTCATTTAATAGTGAAATACAGGAAAAATGTTGCTATGGATACTGTCTTTTGGTCATAGGAAACCTTCTGTCCAAAT